ACACACACACACACACACACACCCCTGGCTGGCTCTAGTTAGTAGCATTTCTGCTTACACAGGGGTAAATACTACTCCCTGTGGCGGCCACTTGCATGAACACTCAGGTTGGTCCTGTGGCCCGCACAAGTCGCCTGCAGCCTGCCTGCCCCTGAGTCCAGCCAGCATTTTCCCCTTGGCCGAGAGACTTGCCCGTCTGAGCCTGCTGCACCTCTTCAGCACCCAGAGAGATGCTTGACACCCCTGGCTGACACCCCTGGCTGACACCCCTGGCTGACACCCCTGGCTGACACCCCTGGCTGACAGTCATGAACAGAATGCGGGCTGGTCACACAGCGCATGCTGGGAATGGAACTAAGCGGCTCACAAACAAGTCCTGCTTCTTCCTCACACCACTGAGATCAGTTCACTACCTGTGTTTTCCTTAGCTCGGGGTCTCACTAAGTAGCCCAGGCTAGCAGCTTCAAGCTCATGGTGATCTTTTTTGCCTCAGCCTTATCTGCACTTGATAAGAGAGGAAACTGAGGCACTTCAGGGATAGAAGAAACCAGTAGATTCCTCTACATAATCCTCAGAGAAAGTGAGGTTCCTGAGCAACCAATCTGACCTCAAAGTCAGTGCTATCTACTTCGCTTGTTTTGCTTTTGAGACAAAGTCCTACTACATCACCCAAGCTGGCCTTGAACTCATAAGCCTCCCTCCCAGTATTAGGATTATAGGCTTTGTGCCACCATGCCTGGGTTTCCACTTTCCACTCCAGAGCTGTGATCCTGAATGGACACTAAGGCCCAAAGACATGAAGGGATCCCCACTACGGCACACAGCAAAAGGCAGAGGGAACAACCCCAGAGAAAAGCTGCCTTTGACCAGTCCTCAGCCCCGGGAAAGGATACTGGCCACGATGAGGATGGTGGAGAGGATGCAGATGCTCTGGCGCAGACACCTAATCCAGCGGGGCCCGGGTTGGGGCAGGCCCTTCATCCACCAGGACAGAAAGAATTGTAGCCAGAAGTACAGGTTGCCCAGGATGAAGGCCAGAAAGGCCCCTACCAGGTGTGTGGCCTTCTGGTTAGTCTCCTGGGGGAAGGGAGGAGAATTGAAATAAAATTATGGCAGATGGGAGGGGAATGATAGGAAGTAGACTTTGAACCAGTCCAACGGATGTAACGGAAAATGCAAAACCCGGGGCTGCTGAGGTGGCTGAGCTGGTAAATGCTTTCAGGGACCTGCAGAGGAAGAAAAGAAGTAACTCCTAAAACATGTCCTCTGGCCTCCACCTACATGCTGCGGCAGGCAAGTGCTTCCCACCCACCCACTCCCACACACAGAACCTGCCACCCTCTCACCAACCATCAGACTAGGTACCTTGGTCTTTGTCAGCTCCACAGAGCATTTATCAGTTTTTATTTGTGTGTATGCGCATGCCCCTTGTCTGGAGGCCAAAAGAGGGTGCAGGTTCCACTGAAGCTGCAATTACAAGTGCTTATGAGTGCTTGGAACCAAATTTGGGCCCTCCAGAGGAGCAACAAGTGTTATCAATCGCCAAGCCGTTTAAATTTAAATCCACTGCCAGGTCCTCAACCCTTAACACCAATAATAGCACATCCCACAAAGTAGCCGTTCAGGAAACGTGAGTACAATAAATCTTGAATTCCCCGAAGTGTGGAGAGGGAAACATACCCTAAAGGGAAATTTTTTTTTTGTTTATTAGTTTTAGTTTTTTTTTTTGACACAGGGTCTTTCTGACTCTTCATCCCAACTCCTGGATTGAACCTAGGACTTCATGTATCAAGACAAATCACTCTACTACTGAGCTACAGCACCCCCACACACACCAAAGACAGGGTCTCACAGAACCCAAGTTGTCCTTGAACTTGATATATATGACCTGGAACTCCTGATCCTCCTTCCTCTACCTCCCAAGTGCTAGGATAACCGGTTTGTACAACCACGCCCAGCAAAATTTAGATAAAAAAAAATTATTGGAGGCACAGAGAAGTGGCTCTCCAGGTTCAAGGTCAGCCTGCTCTACATAGCGAGTTCTAGGACAGCCAGGGCTACCCAGAGAAATCCTGTCATAAAAAAAAAAAAAAAGAATTATTGCACTTATTTTGAGGGAAGAAGCGGGTGTCACAACATGGAGCGTGTGTGGAGGTCAGAGAACAAGGCCCAGGGGTTAGTTCTCTCCTATTATGTGAGTCCTGAGGATCGAACTCAGCTTATCAGGCTTGGCAGGCACTTTCACATGCTGAACTGTCTGGATGACTCCGAAATTTTGGTACTTGGCAGGTGAAAATTTCATAAATGTGATAATGGTTTGTGACTTACAGAAACACATGTTAAAAATGTATGCATTTTTTAAAATAAGGCCAGATGTGATGGCACACACATGTAATCTTGGCTACATAGTAAGTTCCAGGACTGCCTGAGCTAGAGACAGACCCTGTTTCAAAGAACCAAACAAAAAAAATTCATGAAAAGGCCGGGCAGTGGTGGTGGTGGTGGTAGTAGTGGTGGCGCACGCCTTTAGTCCCAGCGCTTGGGAGGCAGAGCCAGGAGGATCTCTGTGAGTTCGAGGCCAGCCTGGGCTACAGAGCGAGTTCCAGGACAGGCTCCAAAGCTACACAGAGAAATCTGTCTCAACCCCCACCACACCCCCCAAAAAATTCATGAAATCCTCACACTGTGGATGCTGAAACAAGAAGAATGCAAACTCAAGGTCAACACAGATAAATAATAATCAGATTGTCTCAAATAATAAGTCATTGAGGGGGAGAAAACTGGAGAGAGAGGCCTAGGAAGTTCCCTAGAAAGGCAATCAAATGGAATAGGGCCTGAGAAGGCAGCTCAGTCCACAGAGTGCTTGCCTGGGTGTGGTTCCCAGTGCCCATAAAACAGGAGTGGGGCCCACCTGCAATCCCAGAACTCATGAGGTGGAGGCAGGAGGATCTGGAAGAATGCAAAGCCATCCTCCAATACATACTGAGTTTCAGACTGGCATGGGCTACTTGAGAGCCCCCCCCCCCCAAAAAAAAAGTGTTCTTTAGGTTGAGGAACATAGAGCAAGCAAATAAATTGTTAAGCCATGACCAGGTCTCGCCCACCCTGCACCTCACCTGCTTTCAGCCAGGGGCCGAACATCAGAGACAGGACATAAAACACAGAGTAACAAAATAAAACCAGTGAGATTTTTCCTATCGGTTGTCCACTCATTCACTCTACAATTATCTGTAGAGCCGCATGAATGCCGGAACTAGAGTCCATGAATCTCTGTTCATTTCTGACCACCCACAGACAAGCTGCTTGCTCGTTAGGGTGCAAAGGGACTGAATAGAATTCTGTGGAGTTCTGTATAGAGAGAAGACTCAACCTTTGTACCGATCGCAATAATTTCATGAGTTATTGAAACGGAGAATGGTGGCTGCAATAAAATTCTCCCAACCTCAGAGGAGGGTTCTGCGAGGTTCTGAGTACACACCTTAGCACAGGCTGCTCACTCTACAAAGTCCTCTATGCGCTAGCGCGGTCCAAGAGGAATGAGAACTACAAGTCCCAGAAAGCCTTGCGAGCCAAGTCCACAGAAAGAGCCGCTAGAAGCCGCGGGAAACATAGGGAATTGTAGTCCGGTTTCCGGAGGCTGGCCACCCCCGGGTTCGCTCCCCAGCGCATCTCACCTGGAAATTGCCTACTATGGAGGTTCCCAGGGCACAGAGGAGCCCGGTCCACAGAATCAACTGGTTCTGCCACGTTTTGACTCTCCAGTCCCGGAGTTGATGATAACGCACAATGCAGATCCAAATAGCTAGGAAGGAGAGTCAGACTCACCACGGGGTTCCCAGCTGAAGGGGAAGACTTGAAACCGGGAGAAGCTAAGATCGGAGATAAGGGTAGCATAATGGAAGAAGGGATTTGGAAGCGCAGGGCTTTGGGGTCTGGATTCCTGGGTCTGAGGGAGGAGGGCTGGGATGTGGAGTCCCAGCTGTCGGGGAAGAGGGGCTAGTTGCCCCTATCTGGGGAAGGAGGAGCTAGGGACTCTTTGGGCAGCTTTGGGCTGGCAGTAAAAGGTCTGGAAATACTTACCTAGAGCAGCTCCTATATTGAGGACTTGGCCGAAAATGCAGCTCTGGGGAGCGTAAGACCCACATTTACTGCAGAAGATGAACAGGGTCATCCTTTGGCTCCTCCGAGGTAAGACCCTCAGTTTTCCTCCCCCCATCACCCCCCTCAGCCACAAGAACCTGATAAAGGGGAAGCCTTTCCCGAGGTCCACACTCCCGTTAGCCACGGCAATTGCAAAGCTGAGATGGGAAAGATACAGGAAGTGTTAATAAGAGGATCTTAAGGATGATAACTTTCCCTTCTGCTGGCCAAACAAAACACTTCACTGTGTTCATGGACTTCTGGCCCCATCCTGCGTCACAAGCAGGCGTCCAACACCCAGCTGTCCTCCCCCAGACCCAGGAATCCAGCCCTCCGTCCAACCCTTCTTCTCCCTCCGACCAAAGCATCCTTTGGGCCTCTGCTACTTACACAATCCAGATGCCAGCCGCGGCCCACAGAGCTAGGAAGACTGGCAGCAAGTACAGGTAGTTCCACATGCTGGGCTCTTGTAGTAGAAGTGGAGAGGCTGGGTCTCCCAGGTCAGGGAGCAGTCCTCAGATATATGGGGTCGAAGACACCTGCTTTTGTGGCCACACTTGCTGGAAGACTGGTTGAGGCAGGCCAGCCTTTGCTCAGGGCACTATTCCCTATCTTTCTCACCTTCAAGCAACTGATGTTTGTCTGTCTTCTTGGTTCTTCTCCTTCACCTCCACCTCCCGGTCTCTGGGTTCCCCTAGGACCTTCACCTCTCCAAGTCCCCTCGAGTTCTCCTAACTTTCTCGGTACGTTTAGATCTGGGTGACAGTATCCGGAAAGACAGGCTTTGACTCCAGGTGTGGCCAGGAAGGCAGGCTTCCACATACCCACAGAGGCAAAGTCCGGGCTGAGTGTATATGAGATATGGCCTTGGGTCTAATCAGTCACTTTCTGTAAGACACCCAAACTACCACTTCCTGTCTCAGATGCGTAAAAGCATCACCTCAGCTTCAGGGAGCCCCTAACTTCCTTCCCATGGCTATGTGGGTTCAACGTCGGAATCCCCCAGCACTTCATCCTCCCGACAAGCTAGATACAGCCTCCCAGAATGCATGCACCTTACCTACCTGCAAATTCAGGCTTCTTAGTTTTGGATTCTGCCATAGCCCAGGCTGACTTGAATTTGTGACCGGCAGTCTCCGGGGTAGCCGGAAGTACGGTCCTGTACCACCAGGCGGGTTGTTGGTTATGGGTTTCTGCTTTCTGGGTGCAGTCGGTTTGTTTGGGTGGCTTGATGTGGGTTCTTGATGACCCCGCCCCACATCCTCTCCTCATCCTTTCTTTTTGTGTTTGAACCGAGTTCCCCAAAGCAGGCAGGGTGTGGGTGGGAAACCCCTGCCCCTGCCAGCAGCCACTTATTCTTTATTTCTTTATTTTTCTGAGATAAGATCTTATTACATCGAGGAGGCCAGTCTCAAAAGCAAATCCTCCTGCCTCAGCCTTCCTAGTGCCCGGAATTCAGGCCCGGAGAGATGGCTCGGTGGATAACAGCACTTGTTATGCAAACCTACCACTCAGGCATGGCTGCTTGTTCCCATAACTGTTTGATTGACAGTCAGACAAACAGATCCCAAGAGCCAGCCTCGCCTGAAGGATGGCAAGCTTCCCTTCCAATAAACAAACCCTGGCGGGAAAAGGAAGATGGTGAAGACTCGCGCCATCTCCTCTGCCTTCTGCTTGCATGCAGGCACTCACAGGGCAGTACAGGGCCACACACACAGCGCAGAAATTATGATAACGATAAAAATAATAAACAGGGGGTGCCAGGCGGTGGTGGCGCACGCCTTTAATTCCAGCACTCGGGAGGCAGAGGCAGGCGGATCTCTGTGAGTTCGAGGCCAGACTGGTCTACAGAGTGAGATCCAGGACAGCCAGAGCTACCCAGAGAAACCCTGTCTTGAAAAACCAAATTAATAATAATAATAATAAATGGTCAATGAGGTGGCAATACGTGCTGCCAAGTCTGAAGTAGGACCTGAGTCCTGAGTCCAGTCTCTGGGACACATGGGGCACTGTGTGTCCTGACGCCTACAAGTTGTCCTCTGAACCCCTCACTCACGTCACGGCACATGCAAAATAAATAAATAAATAAAAGCAATGGCTAACGATGATAATAAAAAGCCGACTGCCATTTTCCTTCTCCGGTCTGTCCCCTCTTTGGTGCCCTCATGTTTGGGTCACATCTCCACCTTTCTCTGAGGAATCAGGAGACTGGATCCTACTCCCTCCCTCCCTCCGCAAACCCTTCTCTTGCTTTCTTTTTTCTTTGTTCTCCCTTCCTTCCTTTCTTTTTCTTCCTCTTTTTTTTTCTTTTTGTTTTGATTGTTTGTTTTTTCCAGAGTGGGTTTCTCTGTGTAACCCTGGCTGTCCTGGAACTCACTCTGTAGACCAGGCTGGCCTCGAACTCACAGAGATCCGCCTGCCTCAGCCTCCCGAGTGCTGGGATTGAAGGTGTGCGCCACCACTGCCTATCCTTTCTTTTCTTTTCTTTTCTTTTCTTTTCTTTTCTTTTCTTTTCTTTTCTTTTCTTTTCTTTTCTTTTCTTTTTTTTTGTTTTGGGGAGACAGAGTCTCATGTAGCTCAGGCTGGCCTCAAACTCACCATGAAGCTGAGGATGACCATGAACTCTTGATTCGCCAGCCTCCAGTTCCCGAGTGCTGGGATTACAAGTGTACACCACTATGCCGAGTTCGTTCAGGGCTGGTGATGGAGCACAGGGCTTCATGTGCGCTAGCCCATTACTTTACCAACGGAGCTGTAGCCCTAACATCCCATTTCTTTTTTAATTTTTTTAAATTACATTTATCTGGGGCTGGAGAGATGGCTCAGTGGTTAAGAACACTGGCTGCTCTTCCATGGGACCCCACATAGCAGCTCACAACCACCTGTAACTCCAGTTCCAGGGGATCTGATGCCCTCATACAGGCAAACATACAGGCAAAACACCAATGCATATGAAATAAAAATAAATCATAAAAAATTACATTTATTCACTTTTTTTTTTTAAAGGCAGGGTCTCACCATGCAACCCTGCATAGCCTGGAAACTTGCCATGTATACCTGAGTGGACCAAAATTCATAGCAATCCACCTGCCTCTGCCTCCTGAGTGCTGACATTGAAGGTGTGTGGTGACAACCAGCTGCTTAATTTGGGGGGGAGGGGGCACACACATGTACAGTGGCATATATGTATAGGTCATGGGGGGGACGTCTCGTAGAAGTCAGTCCTCTCCCACCATGTGGACCCCAGGGACTGAACTCACGTCCTCAGGCATCATGGCAGGCACCTTTATCTGCTGAGCCAGCCCACTCGTTTTCTTTCCTCTCTTTCTAATTTGGATAGAAGTCACCTAACGTAGACTCAATCCCTTGGAGGCAGAAAAAGATGTCAGATGCCCTGGACCTGGAATTACAGCTGGTTGTGAGTGACCCAACATGGATGCTGCGAACCAACCCTGGCTGTCCTGGAACTCGCTCTGTAGCCCAGGCTGGCCTCAAACTCACAGCGATCCCCCTGCCTCTGCCTCCCGAGTGCTGGGATTGATGGTGTGTCCCTCATGTCCAACCTGATATTTGTTCTTGAGGTCCATGTCCTTGTCACGAGCTGTTATGAGGGGAGCTGAGGATGTGACTCAGGGGTAGAGCAATTTGCTAGTCTGTGCAAGGATCTGGGTCAGTTCTCCACGGTGGTAAAAGCTGATTGGAGCTCTGCTTCTATGAATGGATCGATTGGTGTGATAAGATGGCTCACTGGGTAAAGACACCTGGCATGGCAGCCTGGCAACCAGAGTTCTGTTCCTGGAACCCGTGTGAAGGTGAAAGGAGAAAACTCACACCACAAAGTTGTCCTCTGACCTCTAGGCATACACACACACATACACACACACACACACACACACACATACACACCTGCACACACACATATACACACCTACACACACATATGCACATACATATACACACCTACACACATATACACACCTGCACACACATACACACACACACACACACACGTGTATATACACATACATACACACAATTATACACACACATACACACCTACACACACACATCCACATCCACACACACACACATACTTACACACACACCTGCACACACACATATACACACCTACACACATATATTCACATACACACACGTGTATATACACACACACATATACACACACATATACACACATACACACACATATACACACAATTATACACACAAATACACACATATACACACCTACACACACATCCACATACACACACATGCACACACACACACTATGGCATATGTTCTCCACCAGGAATGCACACAATAACAATCTTTTTTAAAATTTTGTTTATTTGTTTGTTTGTTTTTGAGACAGGACCTCTGTGTAGCTCTGGCTTTCCTGAAATTTACCATGTACATAGACCAGGCTGGCCTAGAACTCACAGAGATACACCTGCTTCTACCTCCTCAATGCTGGGATTAAAGACTTGGGCCACTACCCCAGCCGATTTTTTTTTTTTTATTAATTTAGTAGATAACCACACCAGAATTCCAGAACTTAGAAAAGGAAGCAGACACTAAGTTCCGTGACTAACCAAGAAGCTATTTGCAATTGATATCTGCTGAGAAAGGCAAAATCAGTTTTCTCCGATGGAGTGTCATGGGTACATCAACCACACTCCAATGAAGAGTTGACCAAAACAAAATGGACTCCGTGCTTTTTCTATGTGTGTGTGTGTGTGTGTGTGTGTGTGTGTGTGTGTGTGTGTGTGTTTTGGGTATTTCTTTTCTTCTTTTCTTTTTTCTTTTTTTTTAAAGACAGGGTTTCTCTGTGTAACCCTGGCTGTCCTGGAATTCACTCAGTAGACCAGGCTGGCCTTGAACTTAGAGATCTGCCTGCCTCTGCCTTCCCAGTGCTGGGGTTAAAGGCATGCACCACCACCATCCAGCCTTTTCTTTCTTTTTTTAAGTATGTTTGTTTTGATTTTCATGCTTTGAGGTTTTTTGTGGTTTTTGTTTCGTTTTGTTTTGTTTCGTTTTGTTTTGTTTTTAAAGAGAGAAAGGCCAACCGGTGGTGGCGCACGCCTTTAATCCCAGCACTCGGGAGGCAGAGGCAGGCGGATCTCTGTGAGTTTGAGGCCAGCCTAGTCTACAGAGTGAGTTCCAGGACAGCCAGGGTTGTTATACAGAGAAATCCTGTCTCCAAAAGTCATATATATATGTTATATATAATATATATTATAAAAATTATTTTAAAATTTTTAAAGGGAAATTAAAAAAAGAAAGACAATTAATCACTCATTGGGGTAGTGGATGTCTTACTTGTAGACTAATTTAACTGAGTCTCTAGGAGCCTCCTGTCTTCCCGACATCTAATGCTAGCACCATCTCTGGACTTGGTCAGCAAGAAGGCCAACACCAGGTGTAGCTTCTGGGCCTCACATGCTCTCTTTGGTGA